TAGCCACAGTCCCTTCTCTGTGGTGTCCCTTAGGGCTTAACGTTCTCCCCATTTCTATTTAACATCAACATGAAGCATTGATACCTAGCTTTACATTTCCACCCCAGGCTGACCAAGTGATGCTCTGGAGGTCCCCTCTGGAGGCTGTGGGGATCTGAATGGGGAAGAACAGGCATCAGCTCAACCCTGGCAAACTGAATGCCTATGAGTTTTAGGATGCCCTGGGTCCAGGGTTTTTCTATGCAAGGATTGGAACTGGTACACAACTTGAGGACTCATGGCTCCTATTCAAAGAGTGTGTGCCAATCGTGGCCAGGAGAGCTTTTGCACAACTGCACCCCTTCCTGGACCTGGAAGCACTGCTTACAGTCACTCATGCCTTAGTCACCTCCTGAATGGATTACTGCAACATACTCCACATGGGGCTGCCCTTAAAGACCAACTGGAAGCTGCAGCTGGTACAAAATGCAATGATGCAGGCAGTAAAGGGAACACCTCAGTACACCCATGTTATACTCCTGCTCCGTGAGCTGCACTGGTTGTGCTCCAGGGGCCTGGGGTCAGGAAATGAGACCGCCTGTTGAGAGGACTTTGCCATTTGTTTTATCCGGGTTACCCCCAGTGAACACAGTAGCTTTTTAGCATTTGTTAATCTTGCTTTTTATTGTTTTAACATGTGGTTAGCCACCCAGAGTCACATTCACAAGATGGGTGGCAATATAAATTGACTTAATAAATAAAAAATAAACATTCTGAATGAAGACAATCCATGAGGAAAAATATCCTGTCAATGAACAGATGGGTGGGAATGTTTCAAATATGTAGCTTAAGATCAATCTATTCATGCATACACATGGACAAGAAATAAATCAAGAAGCATGGTTTGACTTTATGACTGAGAGCATTAGTAAATGATTCAACTGATTCAAAAGTGGTGAGAGATTCTGAATGTGAGACATACTATTACTTGGTAGCATCAAGAGTGGAACTTCAAAAAAGTATTCATGGAAGAAGTGAAAAAAAATAGAATGAAAGCAGAATGATTGTGGAAAGATTAAAAAGCCCTCTATGAAATTGTATTAGAAGATAAATTAATCTCCCAACAGAATGAATGGGAGACAGACATAAGGAGATAAGATGGGGAAGGTGCTTGGAACACAATGGAGTCAGAAAGTGGAATGAACTGTTGAGTTGGAAAATGAAAAGCTATTTTGATAAAAATAAAAATGTATGTCAGCAGGATGAGCTTGTTTGGTAAGAAACTAGATGAGGGTAAGTCTGAAGTATTTTAGAGATTTTAGAGACTCATGTGGAAATGACAAGTCTATGTCACAGTGGAATCAAAACAGACACCATGAAAGATAATGCCCAATTAAAATATGATGAAAAGTCAGTCATAAATTCTTTAAGTGTCAGTTCCACAGAGTCAGTAAAAAACAAGAGCAAATCTGACAGTACTAAAAACAGGGGACAGAGGATTTGAACATCCTTTATAATATATGTAAGTATGGTTTATTGCTGAATCACTACAGTTGTTGGGAATATTTTGAATATGGCTTCCTAACTTCCTTCAATAAATGTTACTTAACACACATTTTTGGATTTCTTGTGAGCTTAGCAAAGTGTTTTTATTCCAGCTTGAATCAACTCTACAACAATGTTGTTATAGAGAGTAAGGAGATGATCTTGAGGGAAGTATGCAGGATCTATTGCCTAGACAGAAGAGGCATTTTTGGAGAAGCATTTTTTAAGTCCAGGATGAGATAACATTCAGAAGTAGCTCAAACGGACACCTCCCTAATCCACTGAACTATAACAATGAGGAGGAGGTCCAGCAGTGTCAGACTTGTAAGATTCTCTCATTGTAGCCAATCTCAATAACAGTACTTTTAGCCTTCCACAGGAGACGATTTCCTGGGGCTAACAGCTGCAAAATGGCAAGGCTGCAAGTACAGATGGTGTAACTGGAGAAATGTAAAAAAAAAAAAAGGATGTATTTTGCTCATGAAGTTGGTATGTGATATGTTAAACATGTATGAAGATTACATCTCTGCCTGAGAACTGAAAAATGCCACTATTTTTTCCCCTTTACAAAGGGAAAGGTAGCAAGAATTTCTTCTGGCAGACAGGAGTCCATATACATTTGTTTAATAAATAATAGAAATTAATAAAAGTGAATGTTAGAACTACAAGGAGATCAGTTTATTAAACCTGCCCGGAATGTATCTAGCAGTCTTCTAATTGTAAAGTACAAGAGGTGACAATGAGCAAAACATGGGAAGTACAGTAGGGCTTTATGCTACACAGAGGATATAAAGACCAGATTTTTGCTGTACAGCAACTCATAGATTAATCAATATATGAATGTGACAAAGAAAGATACTGAATATTTGTTCCGTTAGACAAAGCATATAATAAAGTGAATAAGCTTGTATTATAAAAGTTCTGCACCAATATGGATTGTTTGTTGCTAAATGAAGTAGGAGCAGTATGTGATGCCACCAAAGCAGGCATATATGTGAAAAGAATGCTTAGCAAATGGTATAATACAGGTAGTCCTCTTTTAGTGACCATAATTGGGACCAGCAACTCAGTTGTTAAGTGAAGCAGTCACTAAGTGAAATCATGACTGTGCTTACGATCCTACTTCAGCTTTTCTTTGCTTTACAGACCTGCGGAGACTGTAAATATGAAGATTGGTCGGAAAGCTACTTTTTCATCACCATCGTAACTGCAAACAGTCACTAAACAAGGCAGTCGCTAAACATGGTCTACCTGTGATGAGCAGGTATAAAGTAAGTTTGAATAATGTCCCTTTGGTTGCTTAATATATTTATAGAGAAAAATACAAGAAATGCTTATAGTGATATTAGGAGTGTTGCTGGGGATATGAACAAACTATATTTTTTATGTAGATGTTTTATGTGGGTGGCTAAGAATCTCAATGATTAAAAGAATATGAGATTGCACATTGCAATTAGTGATATGAAACCAAAAATTAATGTATCAAAGATCAAGACAGTTGTGTTGGATAGGAATAACAAACTAAACAACTGAAAGTTACATATAAATAGCAAACTAGAATATTTAAATGCTGGTAAAAATGTAATGGTCTGCTGTAAGGAAGGAATGATTGTCAAAAGCAGTAAAAATAGCTTTGTTATATGAAATAAAATTGGAATTGTTGGGAGAAACAAAAGTAAGTGGGATGCAGCAGAAATTGATTTCTTAAGGAACAAAAAGAGATGGGATCAAGAATGAATGGGTGATGAATTAATGTGGACTGAGTACAAAAGTGGTTTGGTCATATAGAGAGAATTCTTTAGGCCTGAACTACAAACAAATATATGAAAGAGGAATGTATGGGTTGAGAAGAAGGAGAAGACCCAAAACGTCATGACTGCAGTTTTGAGATCCTCAAAAAGAGTGGTGAGAAGTTTACTGTATAGAAAAAGGCAATGTAAAAGCAGTTTACAGATGTGGAAGAAACAAAGATGATTTGCAAGGATGGAAAGATATAGTGAATAGTGTCAGTATAAACTGAATTTATCAGTATTTTTCTTTTTCCCTTACCTCTTGCCTTAATTTCTTTGGCTTATAATTTCTTACTTCTTTTCTAGACTTTGTATCATGTTGCTTATCACAGAAAGGGAAAAGTGTGATTGGTATCCATTTACACATATCAATTGAATTAAATAACATTTAGCTTTCGTTCTGACCATACCAACATCTCTTCCCACTCTGCGATGTGATGCACACAGCAAGCCACTCAAGGCCAAGTGTGATCCTCAGCCAAAATCAGTGCCTGTGGTTCCTCTTTTAGAAGAAATGGGACTATAAAGCATCTTTCAAATAATGGAAGATGCAGGAGAAGCTACTTATTCTGAAAAGGCAAAGTACACACTTTTTAGTTAAATTAATCAAGGAACAACAATACTTGCTTTGTACATTATTTTAAAAATAGTAAAGCCCTACTAATTTACCTGCATCTGCAGGACTGCATCTGTTTGCAAGAGTGTTGTCTTTGCCTGCGCATCAAATACAAAGGGATAGGTGCAAATTGTAACTGGTCCATCTGACAGCTAAAAAGAAAAAAGAAAAGAATTACTGCAGGAAATAAGAGGAAAAAAATGGAAAAAAACATTGTTTAATTGATTATAACAAGAAGCCAAGTTTAAACATATGAGTCAACAGATGCAGCTGTGGAATCTTTATTAATTATATATTAATTTTAACGATATAATTAATAAATTATATATTAAATAATATATAATTATATTT